GTACATGATTCAGAGTGAATCACGATTCGGATACATGAGTGGGTTCCACTTGCCAATATTGCAGTTACAACGTCTGTAGCTACACTCGCTGGTGAGACTGGTGTGCAGTTCCCATTTTGCATTATTTGGGGCTGTTTACTCACACTCAGTAACGTAAGTTTTAATAACATGACCCTGATTTTTATGATTTTTTTTTTAAGTTTGTTTATCTTTGAGAGCGCCGAGGAGGGGCAGAGAGAGAGAGAAAGGGAGAGAGAGAATCCCAAGCAGACATCCGTGCTGTCAGCGCAGAGCCTGATGCGGGGCTCAATCCCACGCCACGATCGTGAGGTCATGGCCTGAGCCGAAGTCAAGAGTCGGATGCTCAAATGACAGAGCCACCCAGGCGCCCCTATCCTGACTCAGAAAAACATCAGTCTACACATATGGCGAGCCCACAGGTATGGAAATGTCGGCGTGTTGCCGGTGAGACACTTATGCCAAGGGCTGGTGTCTTGTTTTCATGTAATGGATAAGTACCTGTGTGATCATAAACGCAGAGAAGGAAAGGCGGCCGTGAGTGAAAGAAAAAGATACGGGATGATGGAATGCTCTAAATCATCAAGGAATGGGAAAGAAATGGAGGGCAGGGAGTATAAATACGTCCCTGGGCTGTTTTGTGAAAATCGCCTCAGAAAGGAAAACAAGGAAATAAGTTAAGATTGGTAACGATAAAACCAAAGGCAGATGCTGAGAAGATGGCACAAGTTATGGGGACACCCTGTGCACCTCGAGGGGAACACACATCAGCCTTGGCCACACAGGCGGTGGTGAGCTGCCCGTCCCCGTGCACGAGGAAGGAGGGCGCGTGTGCTCCTGGGGGTCCTCCCGGGGAAGGCAGCCACCGTCTGCATCTGGGCCCTTGATGCACCCTAAAAATCATTAAATTTGGAGTCAGATCGAAGCAGGTGCCGGACAGAGCAGAGCAGACCCACCACCGAGAAAAGCTCTCACCTCGCAAACAGGTAAATCCGCACGGTTGCCTCGGCAGGTGTTGCATCAGGCTTGCCTGACACAGTGTTTTGCAGGTGTGATCCTTCTTTCGGGGCAATGTGCAGTGGCCACGGGGACAGGCAGCGGTGGCCTCACAGCGTGAGCCCCGCACCGGAGGCTGTGGTACCCTCCTGGGCCGTGGAACACTGGCCCCAAGACCCCTTACGCCATCTAGAAATGATGTAGCTCGGGACCAGCCCTGGGGGCTCTCAGCTACCAGCTACGTGACTCAGAAAAGACCTCTTGGCCTCCATAAACCTCGGTAAAGTGGGAAGAATATCCCGCCTGCCGCTCACCGGGTTTCAATTAAATAAGGAAACACGCGTGAGCACTCACATAGCCTTGCGTGTTGAATGAACCCCGAGTGCACTCTGCTGTGTCCCCCTCCTTCCTCGGTTAGCCCTGGTTTTCTCCTCCACGGCCCTGACTGCTCCCCACTCCGGGTGTCTGAGACCCGCGCCCACGCCCCCGGTGGACGCAGACCGTGGCTACAGCCTCGGTGGCCCTCGTGCACCGCGCAGCCGGACTCGTCAATGTTAGCTCTGTGACGGGACGCAGACTCGTCCCTCCTGGTTTCCCCAGTCACTGCTTTCACCAGGACCTGGTTCAGCCTCACCTGGGCCCGAAGCAGTCCCAGGGGCCCCTCGCCTCTCATCTTTCCCTCCTGCACCCCCGTCACGTGACTCTAGCTTTATTTTCCTAGACAGACCCGACCTCAACAGTCTCATCCCTTTCGGTTTCCTGCAGAGTAAAAAGGCTAGACCCCGGGTAAGGCGCTCCGTGGCTTGCTCCCTGACCTTTTCCCGGGGCCCTGAGCCACGGCCTTCCAACCGCTCCCACGTGACCTGTACCGGAGCTGGTGACTGGCCACCCTGCCTGCCCACGGGACATTCACTGCTCAGCCTGTTCGCTGTGCAGCAAGGATGCTGCTTCCCGTCTGTCTTCAAACTGTACTCACCTTTCGGGGGCTGCTGGACGTCCCTCTCTGCGCCCTATCTACCGCTGGCATCGAGTCTCTTCTCTCCTTCCTGCCTCCACTGCAGCACAGACGTCACAAATGCCTGCCTCTTCTAGATCTGGGTGGAAAGGTCCCAGAGAGTAAACCTGTTTCATTAATCCTGGTCTCCACCCACCCACCTCGGCCAGCCCAGGGCCCTGCTCAGAGGACACACTTTAATGTCAGATGAGAGCACAGGGGTGACAGAAGGACGACATCAGACCACCGAAAAGCTGCACAGCGTAGCAGGTGCAGGGCCAGGAAAATCAAGCTGCTACTTCATTTCTTTGCAGGTCTTTTAAAGACACAGGTACACAATGTCATACTTCCCGACTTAAAAAAAGAAAAGAGAGAGAGAGACAAGCCTAGGAAATAAAAATAAGTAAAAAATATTTTTGTTTTCTGTTCTTTTAATAAGCGGGGGGAGAAAGAGGAAGAGGGGAAGAGAAAGGGAAGAGGAACAAGAAGAAAATGTGTCTGAGACACGAGGGAGAGGAAGAAAAAAAATGCAGAGGGACAGTGGCCGGACCGAACGCTGCACAGAAACCAAACTAGAATAGACACCTCGCGTGCCATGGCTTTTGACAACATTCTTGCAAACGATGGTGACTTGTTATGCCATCCCTTTGTTCCTGGACTAAGGGGGTTGGAAACTCAGAGGCCGGTCTGGTTAGAAGTCAGCGAGTGTGGTCGCTGTGGGGACCGGACAGCTGCTACCCCGTTCCGCTCGCCAAATTCTGCTGTCTGAGAAAATGATGTCTCGCTGCTTTTAGCTATTCCTGTATTTCAAGAAAAGACAGAAACCTGGACTTCCAGCTTGCAAAAAACCAGTCTGTGGGCCAGACAAAACAGTTCAGCGGGCGTTCGGGCCGCTGGCTTTTGCCTTCTCCACTGCAGACAAAGACAAGGCTATTTCCCCTTCCTGGTTTTTACTGAGGTGGGAAGCGCAGCCAGCCTCAGGGTGGAAACGCTCGCTGGCCACGCCGGCCTCTCCTGTCCAGCCGCACGGCTGCTGGCTGGCTGTGTCATGCAGACCAGGAGGATGACAGCAAAAGTGGGGACGGGCCCACCAGGCAGGGGCTGGGACCCCTCCCACCTGGGGCGCACCTGCACCTGCGGGGGCCCACCTGTGGGAGCCAGCCTGCAGGACTCCGCAGAGGGCAAGCAGGAGAAGCCCCGGCAGTGAGCTGCTTCCTCCTCCAAATGTGAGAACACACACACACACACACACACACACACACACACACACACACGGAGCCCTTGATGGAAATTAAACGAAACAGAATAAAGTAAAGTGAACGCTAATTGTGAAAGCTCAGCATACTGGATGAAGGGAAAAAGGAAAAAAGTGGTCTCAAGTTCTTATCTCAACAGATTCCCGAGTTCCTCTACAACACATGAACCCATTACAGCTCTTGATTCTGGAAAGGGTCTCCTAATACTTGTAATCATGTCCCTCTCTGTGAGGAGTCAGAATTCATTAATTTTTAGAGACAGATAAAAATTCAAATCCTACAGTCTAATGATTATACAAAATCAAAGGGGAGCATAAATTAAAGAAACAAAAAGACTTTTTATTTAAATGTTAACTTAGTAATTTAAATAAGTAATTAAAACAGGGAAAGACATAAAAAGTGAGAAAACTTGACATACGCAGAGCAGCAGGACTCTTTTAATTTACGTGTTTTCCCTTCCAAGTACTTTCTGAACTGTCTGCGGTGCTCACATGTTCGTTGATGGAGAGGTCTAATCCCTTTGAAACGTGATACTGAATTTTTAAAAATCTGATTAAAATTATTGAGTAAAACGGCATCGAAACAACAATTATGGAATTCATCACCATGAAAAATAATATACAAAGTCTTCCCCACCCAACAAGATGAAGGATTTTCATAGTTCAGTGCTCACTTCCTAGCCTTTCAATACACAGGGATGATGTTGATGGTTGCTAATTGAAGTGTAAAGATGATATTGTATTCTTCTGTTTGTTTAAAAATTTCTATAATGTTTATTTTGTGTATGTGCGTGTGTGAGAGAGAGAGAGCGAGCGAGCGAGCAGGGAAGGGGCAGAAAGAGGGAGACACAGAATCCGAAACAGGCTCCAGGCTCTGAGCTGTCAGCACAGAGCCCCACGTGGGGCTTGAACCCACGAACCGCGAGATCATGACCTGAGCTAAAGTCGGACGCCCAACCGACTGAGCCACCCAGGTGCCCCTCTTCCGTGTTTATTTAAAGTAACATCAGGTCATGATCTCACGGTTTGTGGGTTCGAGCCCCGCATCTGGCTCTGTGCTGACAGCTCAGAGCCTGGAGCTTGTTTCAGATTCTGTGTCTCCCTCTCCCTCTGCCCCTCCCCCACTCGCACCCTGTCTCCCTCTGTCTCAAAAATAAATAAACATTAAAAAAATTTAAATAAGTATTTTCAACTGTACATGAACTCCAAATTTCGATGCTACTTAAATCTCGGGGAAAATGGGTTTTCCCAGATTATGAGGCACTGACTGGCATTCGCATCCACTCCGTACTTATTTTAAAGCCTAAACATCACTTCACGTGTTCAGACGAAGCGCAGTCAGCGTGCCTACATTAATATTCCCTGTGCATGTGGAGATGAGGTGTTTTTTTTAAACGAGACTGAGCAAGCCCTCCTGAAGTATTCTCTGTGCATTACTGCAATTTTTCTGTAAATGTCTAAAGCCCTAGGACGTGATCTTCCAATTACATATGCTATGCAACACTTGTTTCCAACACCTGCAGAGAAATGTCCCGCACAGGAAAGAAACTGCTTTCATCTTATTAAATTAGTGTGGTTTCAATTTCACATTATCTTTAGCTGCTCAGGCTATAGTGTTACAAGTTTATTGCTTCTGCCAGGCTCCTCCTAAAAGTTGAAACCTAAAGTCATTTTCTGCTTTATTGACTTGCAGGAGGGAAAAATGAAATTATCCCGGTCATTAGAGAGAGTACTTACAATTTTTTTGCCTTCTATTAACACCGTAGAAATATTTGTTTCAACATTCTGTAGTATCACATTTCCTTTCTGTTCTCTGTAGATGAATTCTTTATCTACAAGAGAAGAAATAAAAAAGAAACGAAACATTAAGGAGCTCAGCAGGCTTCTGACGGACACTTACACAGAACGAATCAACTATTCCGACAAAAATAGAATGCTGTGATTCATCAAAGGGTCCTTTCAATCTGGTAAAGTATATACAGCTGCTCTCAACATAACCTCATGTGAAGCTTCTCTCCGAATCTTCCCTCCTATGCTACACACTGGCATATAAAACACCAGTGCCCATGCCCATGAAGTCTTTCGGACATTCTAGAGCTTCCTTGAGCCCAACACACAGTGGACACATGGAGCAGATTAAGAAACTTACTACCAAAAAGCATGGGCAGTAATTGGCACTGTGGGTAGTGATTTCCTCTAGGTACAGCTTGGGTGAACCGTGTTATGCACACGTGCTCAGACATCCAAACCCTGCAAGACTGTTTCGAGTTAGTCCACAACCTTCCTTGCTACACCTGGAAGAGTCGGCAGTTTCTTGGTCACGCATACCCCTGAATCCATACATCCTGTCCTCAGAGACAGTGACCGTGGTCCTTTGCATGACCAACCTTTCTTTTTTTTAAAAAAATTTTTTTTTCAACATTTATTTATTTTTGGGACAGAGAGAGACAGAGCATGAACGGGGGAGGGGCAGAGAGAGAGGGAGACACAGAATTGGAAACAGGCTCCAGGCTCCGAGCCATCAGCCCAGAGCCCGAGGCGGGGCTCGAACTCACGGAGCGCGAGATTGTGACCTGGCTGAAGTCGGACGCTTAACCAACTGCGTCACCCAGGCGCCCCCCTTTTTTTTTTTTTTTTTTTAATTTTTTTTAAAATTTTTTATTTTTTTTATTTTTTTATTTTTTTTATTTTTTTGCATGACCAACCTTTCAATTATTCCCTTAGGAAAGTAATAAAACACACCGATCAGGATGATTGCAGAGGTGTATCTGTAGGCACGTGTGTCTCTACTGCGAGTGAAAGGGCACGTTTTCTGAAGGACAGGTTGCTGGTACAGGGCTGGGCACGTGACGAGGAGAAGAAATACTGTCTGTCCAAGCGAAGGTGGGAGTACTGAGCCAGCTTGATGGTCAAGGCATTTCACACAATAACCAGTTGCTGACGGGACCACCCGTGCAGACTGGATTAATCCAAACGGTATTATCATTTCTACTCTTTATCTCACAAATTTACGCTCTTTCCTTTTTCACTCCTTTTCTGCTGCTTGCTTTGGTTTTCATTCTCTTCTTTTTCCAGGTTGTTAAGGTGGGAGCTTAGATCTTTAGTTTGATTTTCCATCCTTTCTTTCGTTTTTTTTTTGTTTTTTTTTTTTTTTATTTATTTTTCAGACAGAGAGAGAGCATGAACAGGGGAGGGTCAGAGAGAGAGGAAGACACAGAATATCAAACAGGCTCCAGGCTCTGAGCTGTCAGCACAGAGCCCGACGCGGGGCTCGAACTCACGGACCGCGAGATCACGACCTGAGCCAAAGACAGCCGCTTAACCGACTGAGCCACCCAGGCGCCCCCCATCCTTTCTAATAAAACTGATGAACGCTAAGAATTTCCCTCTGTGGATGGTGTTAGCTACATCTCACAAATTTTGATATGCTGAGTTACATTACTATTCAGTTCAAATTATTTCTAGTCTTCCCTGTAATATCTGCTTGGCCCAATGATTATTCAGAAACATGTTGTTTAATTTGCAAGTATGTAAAGTTGTTCTGGCCCTTTATGTTTTATAGATTTTTAATTTAAATTCACTGGATCAGGGGCACCTGGGTGGCGCAGTCGGTTAAGCGTCCGGCTTCAGCCAGGTCACGATCTCGTGGTCCATGAGTTCGAGCCCCGCGTCGGGCTCTGGGCTGATGGCTCGGAGCCTGGAGCCTGTTTCCGATTCTGTGTCTCCCTCTCTCTCTGCCCCTCCCCCGTTCATGCTCTGTCTCTCTCTGTCCCAAAAATAAATAAACGTTGAAAAAAAAATTTTTTTTTTTTTAATTCACTGGATCAAAGAAGACTCGGTACATGATTTCAGTCTTTGAAAACTCATTAAGACATTTTTGTGGTCCGTAATATGGTCTAACCTGGTGAATGTCCTCTATGCATATTTAATGAAATGATTGATACGGCCGCATTTGGTCTAATGTGTGTCTATGTGTATGTGTGTGTGTGAGGGCGTTGTATGTGTGTGGGGTGGGTGTGTATGT